ATCAAAATTAAGAGAAAAAATTTAAAATGGCGTATAAAAATTTTCAAATCTTCCGTTATAATAAGCGACACTATGTTCTTTGCTGATACAAACAAAGTTAATTCCATCTATTTATCATAAAAGTTGTGTTAGGTACAGCATTTTTAAACACAGTGCACGGACATTTAAATGCAGAGTAGTAACAGGCATTTAAACACGCACCGGCAGCAGGCATTTAAATAAACTCCGGCCAACTCAAGCTTACCACCATTCAAGAGTCTGGCGTTTAAAGGTTAATAAGATATTGTCTATATATCATTTTGCAATCTCTTTGTGGGTTGTCGCTGGTCTAATAGACAACCACTTAAAAAGTTTGCGTGCCTTGAAAAGGACCGTTTGTTCGGCCGTGCTTGCGCTAGCTGCTTTGTAGCAGACCAGGTCTTCTTTATGGCCATTCAGCTGGTCTGGCTGGCCGGTGATATGGTGCTGCGTGCGCCGGTAAGAACAGCTGCCTATGGTGCGACGGATGACAGCCGTTTTCTTGGCACGGTTGCTGGAGAGCTGTTGCTGCTTCGTGACATCAGAGTAGCTGCGTTAGTTGTCTTTGCCGTAGTGAGGACGATCGAAGAACTGATGAAAGCGAGTCAAAGTCAAAGTCATATTGCAACTGACTGTTAGTCAGTCTGTCTGTCTTGGTGTCGAGCCCCAGCTGGGGCTCATGACCAGATGTTTTCTTCTTTGTGAAAGTTGCTGTCCTGTCCATTTGGGGCGCCCTCTCTCACGAGAGGTCAGGTCTGTCATTTGTCAGTCTTAGTTAGTCCATTGTCAGTATTGACATATATTTACAATTTAATTCTAGTCTTAATTACTATTTCTATGTACAGTAATTACAAGGCTTCTGTCAATCCAGGCATTGTACAGCAGATTATGCCCTATTTCTAGCAGTAATCGCTACCATGGCAGTCTAGTCACTTGAACGGTCGTATGCCTGACCGCCGCCAAGTTTAAGCCTCTTATACTTTCTGTGGCGGGCTTCGCCTTGTCCAATGTTGCGAACATTCTCATTATCATGATTTTGTATGACTTCTGCTTGTTGCCTGCATAATTTTGTTATGTAATCATATACGTACGGAATTTTGAATGCCATGTGCAATTCGCATACCGGTGTGCGCCTTGGAAAATTTCCAATGGTGGGAGAACTTGTTTTGCAGGCGCTGCAATTCCACTAGATGGGTGTCTGCCGCAAACTCCCAGGTGGGACTAGCATAAGCCATTACGGATCTAATAAGAGCTTTATGGAGGGTCAGTTTAATATTGGCGCTCAATCGCTCACTTTTGAATAGGGAATATACTCTAATGAATGTTCTGAAGGCCTTGGCTTCCATCATTTCTATGTGTAATCTCCATGTCACTCTCTTATCAAAGATTACACCTAGATATTTTGCACTAGTTACAAATGGAATATTTCTTCCATTTAGAGTAAGACAAGACTCAGGCGGTCGACGACCATGAGAGAAGTAGACCCCCTGAGTCTTATCTTCATTAATTTTTATATTCCAGCGCTCACACCAGGTCTCCATTGAGCTGAGACCGCGCTGGAGTTTTCTAACAATAAAACCCTCCTTGCGATCTGTCACATATAGACAGATGTCGTCCTCAAAAAGGGCCAGGTGAACACCATGAGTTTGTGGGACATCATTTATGTACAAGTTGAAAAGAGTAGGGGAAAGGACAGAACCTTGTGGCGAGCTTTGAGCTCCACCTTTTATACCATGTTTGTTGGATGGAGCTAAAGTTGCAGTTGCGATTGTGAGCACTGATTGGCTAGCTCACGTGATGATCTACGGGTGGGCTGGACATCGAGTGCTGGCCGCAATGTGACATTGGGCTGGTGTGCTATTGTGTTTCGGTTGAGTGGCGAGAATTTGTGGTTTAGTTTGTTGATTGATTGAATCAGGTAGTTGTTGTGTGAGTAGTTCCATGAGTCTTGGATCGATCAGATTCGGGAGTCATTCAGGAGGTATTAACCGTGGTGGTTGTAGACTTGATGGTTCATTGAAAAATTGTTGGGCTAGAAAATTGTGGTTTAATTTTGTTGAGATTGGAAAAAGCAGTCGCAATCTCAGCTGGTGAGGGGCTGCTAGGTTGGAACTGGAGTTCAAAGTATTATACCAAAGTTGGTAATAGTTCGGTGAGTTTCGTACTGTGTCGTGCCAGACATGGCAGGTGCCTCGGTACCATGCATGCTGGACAGAAAAACGTGCGTCTGTACAGGCAGAATACAAGGAGATGGTGAAACAATACCCTGAAGCAGATCAGCATTACAGGAAGCTGTTTAAAATCATCTGTGATCTCAAGGATGTGGCCAGCTTCACACCCGCTGCAATTGAGGAAAGTGCCGAGTGGGCGGCAATAGTCAATGCCGCTGACAAAAACAGAGCCAGCTATTGTAAGGCTCTCACCGGAAAGATATTGTTCAGTGCTCTGTATGGGACCTATACAGTTACATTGAACGATCTGAAGTCCCTATTGAAGGCCAGTACTTCAGACGCAACGAAAGCTGTTACTGCAAAGCCCGCCAAAGAAGAAGACTTCAAAGAATGTTCTGTGTCTGCACTAATTTCTCATGGTTGTGGGTCTTATTCTGTTTGAAAACATACAGAAAAATCTGCTAAAATTGAGAATATTTTCTGTTTCTTAAGCATGCTCTTGATAAAGTCAATCAACTTGCAGATATAAATCATGAAGTATGATGAATTAATCCAGTCCTCAATCTGCCGTCAACAATCCTGGAAGTTCGTGTGTGTATATATATTGTGTCATGGATGGTGCAACGGGAAGTGGTGGTCACGTGAACTCTTGCGTTTCCTCGAGTTACGTCACATACGTCCTTCCACCAGTACGCAGCGCTCGGGAAGCAATGTCACGTGTTGGGTGTATGTCACGCGACATTATATATATATTGTAACGTGTTTACGTTACCGAATACGCCGTAGAGATCGTTAACTGGTTTATTGAACAATCTACAACTATCGGCTACACTTAATTATCACAACTTTACGGGTTTCCACAGTTTACAAACCCTACAACAAAATCTCTTAACACCGTCTTCACTTGTCTTCACGTACTGATTACGCGGGAGCTATACAAGTCTCCCTGAAATACACACTCTGAGTATAACCGTACTACAGCAATCACTATGTCTGGAAAGCACACAATAAGTCTTCCGCTCGCTGACTTCTTAGTTGTCGCACACTCGCAGGCTGCTATGTTTCAACTGATGATCACACTGCTGTGGGTCCGCTTATATAGCCTTGCGCTGTTGCTAGTGTGACGTGGCGGATAGCATAGGACGCTGTTGCTAGCGTGACGTCACCGCTGTTGATTAGCATTGCGTAGTTGCCAGGTTACGGGGCTCGGCTATCTTCGGCTCCGCTCGGCTCTCTTCGGCTCCGCTCGTGACGTCACCGCGCGTGGCTGCCAGGATGCGGGGTGATTACTCGCCTATTCCGCGAGCGTTACGTTACCGCTGCGGGGTGGGAGGGGTCAACATGTCACAATATTATAATAATAATATAATCCTATCTGTATATGTTATTTTATGCAAATAGGAATAATTTTTTGCCTTCTAACAGTAACACAGATTTATTTACCGAAACATGGGAAATGAACATGATTTGAAGTAGTCTGACACGCAGAATGGAAAGCTTTTTTCATTCTGATTTTTCTGACCACGTTCACTAACTCAGCTTATAATACCATAACGTAACTTGTTCCACATCCCGTTGCCAAAAAACAGTTTGACTTGTCACGATACTAAGGAAAGGAGTATCTATCTCATCGCTGAGCTCTGTGAACTCGACCTCTAACGTATTCTTTGCATATTACACCTCATATGTATAGGAAGGTTTCACAGTGCTGTGGAATGACCAAACTGAACATTGTTCGTTTGAAAGCCTCTTGACAACTTTTCAGAAACTTTCTAAACAATTCAACACATGTATTCAAGTAGGGGATGATTACTTTCAATAAAAGTGAAACAATTTTTTATTTCCTTGTATTCTATATTCCTATTTTCACACCAGTCTGTGAATTTCATTGCCAGACCCTGTATTTGATGCAGTATACTCGTATACACAGATTAGATTGAAGCTTGGGATTAACACTATGCCCATGGAGCCCACCCTACATGAATACTTCTAATTTCATACCAGTTCCATGCTGTAAACTTCTTTGAGAATATAACACACTAAGCTAGTCAAATCAAATGCTCATTACTATGCTCTTAAGATCCCACTCTGGGATATTATCCTAAGCCATATCTAAATTTTATGAGAACAGTTTCTTGATGTAATTGTGCATGAGAATCCTCAGTTATTTCAAGGATCAATCATTCCCCTACAGATTCATCAAATAAGAATTTCACTGTTCTATGGAAATCAACAATTTATATAATTATGAATTTATAATTTCACCAGCCTGTGCAAAAGAGATGACAGCATTTAACAGACACCAGGTACAAAAGTTATATCTACCACAAATTTTCCTCATACCCGTAAATTCCACGAGTATGAGCGACACTAATTTACTGCACAGCTTCTGCATGATCACAAGAATACCTGTATCATGTGACTACTTAAGTATAAGTAAGACACACTATTAAGTTTCAATTTCCAGGACTGCAGTGTCTGTCATGATTATGAAGAAGGTTTCAGCTGGTACTTTCATACCATTATAAGGTTAAAATAAGAAACTTTCACACTGTTATTTACATTTTATTAGATAAAAACAACAATATACAATTCTCATAATTTTATCAAAATTAACTTAAGATCATTCCAATCCATGCAAGTAGCATCAATCACAAAAATGATTTCTTCTAATTTAACTGGATTGAATCAATCAATAAACCAATCACACCTTCAAGCATCACTTTGTACAACACTCAGTAAATAAGCAAGTTACAAAACTCTGATATTCAATTCTGATCTCAAACAAACATTCATTTCAAAATTATTCACTTATGACTTTGCATTAGGTCCACTCCTGCAGCCAAAACCTTGCACAACATTCACAAACTGGCAACTGCACTGCATACTTCGCTTAGCACGGCCAGTCTTTTCATTCTTCTTCTCTTGTTTGTCCACCTGAAAAAAACAAATGTAAAATTATATACTACTGTGAGTACAGACCAAGGTATGTATATATGTTATTGTGAATGTGGATAACCACAGACTGTACACATTTAACAAAAAGGCTGGCGAAACTGCATGATGTAATTACACAAAGACAGATTATGTGCCTTCCTGATATACGTGGCACTGGAGAATGTCAGTGAGGTTTACTGAAATGTTGCGAACTGTTATTTGTCATACACCCTCAAGCACAAGATTACTTGAAGATCACTGACAAAAGAAAGTCTACTAATGAAACTTTGAATGATGCATTACATCTGAAGAATTAAACATATGATTTGCATTTTTATTACCTTAAGATTTATTACTCTTCCTTACCTTGGGGGGGGGGGGGGGCTGTTGGCCGTTTGACTT